CGCCTCACAAAGTCAAGATTTTACTGGAATCGACTCGAATCCGAGCTCTCGCAGCAGGTCCTTGGTTCTTGTTCTTGGGTTAATCGACACAACTATCACGTCACTCTAGAACAATAAAGATCCCAGGGAGCCATTTTCTTAACATTTTTTATTCTTATAGTTTTGAGTAAAACTCTAATACAACTTTCTTGTGGGACATTAGTTTGCTTGCAAAGGCGTGGATCATTTTCTTCTTTAAAACAACAGTTGAGTTGACATTAATGATGTGTCAATGTACAGGAACCAAAATATATCCCAGTCGTGTCAAGCAATTCAATATGTTTCTTCTAAGTTCTGTTCATTATAACTTATAAGTGATCATGAATGTGCTCCTATAACAAGGATTTTGGTTGTGTATATTAGTGTATCAAAACCAACATATCTTTTACTGAATAGAAAATCACTCTTATTTTTCATGTTTTGGTAACAAGCTTGTCAAATTAGGTAGAAATATGAAACAATACAACCAGAAGAGAACCATTGTATTGCTTCTAAAACATAGGTTTAAAACCTCTTAAACATGAACGGGAACAGAAGTAGACATTGTCTTCATCTTTCTTCTTTATGATAACAGAGGATATGCACCGAGAGTGACATCGACTGCATAATGGTCGACTGTTTTGATTGTTAAGAACCACTTCATATATTTCTTCTGCTGTCCCTAATTTAATGGTTGTTCTTTCATTGGTACGTGAGAAATCTCCTATTACACACCGAGTATGTAAGGTGATTTCACAACCAGAGCATTTATAGAACCATAAACTTAGATCTATTTTTTTTTTCACAAATGTCACACCAGTTTTCGCCACTCGTATTTTCACCACAGCATAAAGTGAGAGGATGTTCATCGATCCTATGCCATACCTTTAAAGTCAAAGTAGCACAAGACAAACACAAGTAAAAGTCGCAAGCATCACAAAAAAGCACATAAGTGTTAAGAAACTCCATACATGCATTGCATTTGAGCCACTCGCGAATAGAACTCGTGTTGTAAAAATATAGTGGATGTAGATGGATGCACGGACGAACGGCTCCGAGAGGGAACACCAACGGACATCTACTTTTTTTCTTCCTTGCCACGAGTACTTGAAACCATCAGATATTGTAAAACACAACCAACAGTCGATTGCATCTCCAATATTGTCAACTTCCAATATGTATGGAAAAATGTCAAAGAGATTTTTTTCGTCATGGGAAGATTAGCGCAATTTTCATGAAGAACAAAACAACATTTCTCACAAACATAGATGGAGTCAAATCCAACCGGATTCATACATGCTTCACATTGTATCCATTTGTGGTCAAAAAGGATATTACTCTTGTAGAGCTTTAAATTATGCTACATGACTAACATGATTTATCAATTCATCACGGACCACCTTGTATGGTGTAATATCTTCTGTATCATCTGGAATCCCCTCCAACTCTACTCCATCCCATACAGTTTTCATGTTTATTGCACATTCTGAATGAACTGCATATTTTAGGCAAATGGAGCAAGATTATGCCCCATGGTACTGACTTATACTCTGGTGACGAACTCCACACTGGGAATAACCAGCGCCGAGAAACTTAGTGAAAGAAATGCGATGAACATGACGATTGATGTTGATGACAAGCGGAAGCCCAATACACTTCCCGTTGATAACAAAATAACACTGAAGACATATATAAGACCCATGACATTTCTCATTCTTGCGTTCCAGCCCACAAACATCACAAATATATGAGATTCTCTTAGATAAGCGAGTAAGTGGATGTTGGTCGGTTTTGATATGCTCAACAACAAGAGGAGGTGGGTTTCTTGTACAATCAAGGCACGTTGTGAAATTGCAGATTGAACAATGATAACATACCTTCTCTGTTTTATTTTCACATAAATTACACGTCTTCTCAGCACCATCCGTAAGAGTACCACGTGTGGTTAACTTGAAAGGATGATTCAAATGACAGGATGCTTTACCTCTTTCGAGAACTGGACGCATGTCCCGTGGAAAAACATGGTGCATTCAATACATGAATAGGACGCTCTAGAGATAAACTTCTTGCATACCTCACAATGGTGATACTGATATCATTTGAATATAACTGGATGGTCATGACACATAGGTTTTTCTATAGTAGGCGGCTGTTGTTTTATCCCACATGATATGTGCATGGCCAGTTCACATGTAAAGCAACTGTAACGTAGATGCGGTAGAGAAAGTCCGGACAAATAACATATTTCTATAGTCATGATTGGATTCTTGTCGTTGGTGAGCATGATAGGATGCTAGGGGTGGAGAGGATGGCTGATCTCTAGTGGGGCTTCCGCGCACTTTTTATGTAACCAAATATAACAGTCAGGTTTGTTACAGAAGTAGCCGCCGTAGATATTTTCAATTGCGTCGCAGGCAGTGCATACATATGGTATAGAAAACTGAGCTGAATAAAAAAAGAGGATGCTCTTGAATGAGTGGTTTATGTAATGTTGTTTTTGTCTCCATTTGTATATCTATGTGCATCAAAGAAATTTGGCTGAATGAGGTATATATGCATTTTATTTTAAACTTGTAATAAATGTTAGGAATCAATTACATACAGTATTGAGAAAGAAAGACAGGCTTAAAACTCTTACCTTTCCAGATACACAAAGAATCATGTTCCGCCAGACGATGGTGTCATAAACATTTTATCATCATCTTTTTTTCTTTTTCGGAAGTTCAAATCCAAATCCAACCATTTTGTAGTTTTGCAGCGGATGGGGCAGTTCCATGTCGATGTTTAGTAACTGGTAAGTTAAGATCCAGTTTATGACCGGGTTTAGGCCATGCTTGTATTGTTCCCTTTCATAAAAAAACGTTAAAAATTTGTAATTCATTTTAATATGTATATAAGACGGAAAGAAATGTTTAAATCTTTATCTTTCCAGATAAACAAAAAATATAATATATATAAATGAAAAATAATTTTTTTTTTAAAAAAGGAATCAAAATCTGATTCTTTCAGTTATTATCAAAAATAACATAGAAAGAGATAATCAGAGAACAGAACATGCATGGCTGATGCCCTTAAGAAGTATGAACAATTGAACATAAAAACTTATGCCACTGGACTAGAGAGTTGGCTATGTAATTTAGTGTCCCTAAATTATATTAATATTTGGGCCTAAAACCACAGCTCTGTGGGTTTTAATCCAAGAAAAGATATAAGAATTGAAAAAATATATTCCAAAGTTTCAGTATATACTATACTTTTCAAAAACAAAAAAAAAACCTACAAATTTCTTAGTTAGATCCACTCTCTTTTCATATAGTTTTTTTAGTTTGTTGGTTGTTATAATTCGATTTGGTTACCTTAGGTTTGAGTAATAGAATGACAATTTTGATGGACAAAAAATTCGCACATCTCTCCATATTCTAACTTCCCTGTTATTATCTATGCACTGTTTTTTAACTTAAATCAAACAAAAGAATATTACATTTTAGAGACAGAAAACAAACGAACCAATTACCAAGTAAGTTTTGTTGGAAAATGGTTGAGAGCGTCTCTTTCCTACCGTTCCTCCACAGATGTTTTTTGTATATACAAGAAATATTGATCACGGATAAAACGGAATAAAAATCTTCATAGAGTCTGAATCCTCCACCATCCATGTTATTTCAACGAAGATTTAACGACTAAAATCATATATCAATAAGAGAGTGAAATCTGATTTCATAGTCGATAAGTAGGTATATGTGTTTCTTTGTATATATATAACTACTGGTTGAGTTTGTGTGAAGATTCAACCTTGATCAACTTTGATACTTTGACTCTGTGATCGCAATTCAAGAACTAATACATAAAATTTTATGTTTATTATCGCTAAACATATCGGTCTCAAAACTTTAATTACTCCAAAAAACTGATAATTTCAAAAAAAAAAATCGATTAGTTTATGCAACGGACTAAAATAGATAAATCTATCAAAATTTTTAAATTGAACACACAAATCTGCCATCGTAAAAATATTTGCCATTACACAAAAGTCTACCACCAAATACATGGCAGTATAAATTTAACAACAGTTTAAATTAACAGATTTATATTCTGATAAATTTATTTTTCGTTAAATAAATCTATTATCAGAGTTTTGCTAATTTAAATTGAATGACAATTTTATAATATTACTTTTTGGTAATAACTGTAAACAAAGATATTTTCTACCAAAAAAAAATTTCTAGTAATTTTAAATTTTTATGAATTATTCTAGTAATTTCTAAATTAATTTGTATGAAGATTTAAACTTTGATTAGCTTTGACACTTTGACTCTGTTATCGCAAACCAAGAACCAATACACTCGATATGTTGACCCGGTGTTCACCACATACCTCCGTTAACTAGCAGAAACCGCTATATCACATCAGAGCTAGGATTGAACCAGCAACACTCTATCTGCTCACAAGCAAGCTCCTCCGTTACAACTCAATAACCTGGCTCCCTCTCTCTCTCTGGTCTCTGTGACTGTCACAACACAATCAGCTGAACAGAATATCAAAGGACCCTAAGCTCATTAACCCTTATAATTGAGGTAAATCACTCTTCACACGTGTGCACTCACACGTATGGTTTACTAAAGAGAAAGACCTGTTTAATTGACAATTACAGACTAACTAGACCAATTACAATCATATCTATAATACCAACTAACCCTAAACCTCCCGAGTCCAGTAGAGTGTTCCTATCTTGTCTACAACCTTCAGTTTGATCCGTGTATTAGTTGTTGATCAAACATAAAATCGAGTATCAAAACGCAAACAAGGGTGATAGAGAAGAATATAACACTTGTTATAGTAATGGTTAGGTTATCTATACATAACTTTCAAAAAAAAAAATATTGTTAGTCATTTGATAAACGAGAGAGTGATCACCACGATTTGACATTTACCAAACTCGATAATCACAGAATCTCCCATATGATTGTTGATTGATAATTGGGTTATAGAAAATATAAATCAAAGATTTTGGCAAATCCACCAAAAGTACGAGAAAACGTGTGCTTGACAAAGTCACTGGACGACAAGACTTCTTTGGAAAGTCTCTCGAACATACCACTCCTTGTAAGAGGAGGGAAAAATAACCACCCACCGGTCACAACCACAAACCCCACAGTGAACAGTCGTGAAACCATCAGATTCATTTTCCACCGCCGTACCAAGCTTGTCCTCTTCAATGCTCCTTCCCCGGCTGCGCAAACTCCATGTAAGACAAAGAACCAGGTGACTTCTCCAGTAGGTCTTTCACGGGTATAATAGAAGAAGATCAACTCGTGAACTGCACCGGAGACGATGAAAGTGGTTAAAACTCCCAAGAACCGAGCCTGATCGGAGTTCATTTTAGGCTCGGTGATTCTTCTCACTGGAAAGTAGACGGATGGCCGGAGGATCGCGGGGACCATTAGGTTCCACCGGCGACCCCAGAAGTCTTGAAGAGAAGTGGCTAAGTATGGTTCGTTGAACTGCAGCTCGAGCTCGCACCCAAGTGTCGTACTAAGCAGAACTTTCAAAGGAGCTAAAAGAATCTCAAACTCCAAATATATATGAAGAGAGTAGAGAACTAGTAACACATTCGAAGACAGATATTTTTTGTATTCATATATATGTAGCAATACACTAAATATAGCAACTCTAATGGCAAAAACCCATCTGGGAAAGTGGATTTGAGAGCTATTAGGGGGAAGCAAGGCTTTTGTTGATGTTTGATGGGGAAGCAAGTGAAGCAGATGAACTGAGAGATATTAGGGGGAAGTGGATAGAGGGGACCTTTATCGAAGGAGAAGAGGATGAGCTTGAAAGTGGCTAGCCACGTGAGGGAAAACGCAGTGAAACCAGTGAAATGAACAGAAGAGAAAAACAGAGGAAGGAAAAGAAACAGAACACAAACTGGAAGAACAGAGACTAATCGAATAACTCCAGCTTTGATTCTGGTCGAAAAGTAGTAACAATAAGTTATTGACATTATTGCTGAAACCCAAACCTTCATGAAGTTCTTGAGTTCTTCTTCCATCTCTCTTAGATGTTCTGTGTCTTTTCCAATCATTTGGCTTTATTTACATAAAATAATTGGACAATTGTTGGAAGAACCAGTTTTCCTCGTATCATTTTCTCAAATTAAAGAATCTAAAATTTTCATAATAAAAAGATTTTTTTTTTTTTTGTAGTTAACTACTTTGGATTTGGCTATGTGGACATTTGATCGTACAATGTGATAATATATTATATTTCGATGAAAAAAAAAAATCTACTTCTTTGGATTTAGGGTACACTTTTTCAATTTAAATTTAGTTTTTTTTTTAAGATGTGGTTTCAGAATTTCGGATTACAGGTTTAGTTTTTATGGCCTAGAAGTAAAAAAAAAAAAAAAATACTTGTAAAACATTTTGCTTACACCACTTGAAAATGATGAGTTCATCATCCCTCTCTCAGACCTCCTTTTTTTTCTGCATTGCTTAGTTCTTGCTTATACTGAGATTTTCAAACTTTCTGATTGCTTGTGTCAGAAGAATCAGGATGAATTATAGACAAGAATCAATTAAAAACTGAAAGAATTACACCATAGTGCAGTTTTAAATTTATTTTTACACTATAAGATACTTCTTTCTACTAGGATAGTTTTCTCTAACCAAACTCACTTTCTATCTATAAACTAACTAAATAATCTAGTAATACTTTCAATAATCTAACTAAATATTATATTTATGTTTCTTTTTTGTCATTTAATCACAACCCTTCATTCTCTACAACATTTCATTTCTTCTCTTCGTCTTTTTTATGTATTGGTATTTTTCTCTGTGGAAACAAGTAAAACTAAATTCAATCGCTCATCTTTTTTTCTACTTCTTTATTTCTCCGTAGTGTCTTTATCATTTGCTAGTATTATTCTTCTTTATCACTCCACGAACATGAAATTTAGCTGGAAAAAGACAACAACGACACATAATATACTTGTAGCAGCACCGGTGGCAAAATGGAACAGCGTCGGAAACAGCGACAAAGAATTATGAGCTTATCTCCCGTTAGTGAAAACGAAGAAGACAAAGGAAGATAGCGACGACTGAGATCTACTCCATATTCAGATGTCTCATCCGCCGCTGTGCCTCCAGCTTCGTCTATGGTCTTCACTTCTCCTTTGCTCGACAATCAAGTCTCCACTCTGGTCTTCTCCTCTGGTTCAGACCAGTATTCATTCTGGTGGTGAAGACGTTGTAGCGGTCCAGTCTCCTCTCCAGTTTTCAAAACTGCAACAAGGTTGGTTTCAATCGCCTCAAATTTCAGCCGCCGTCTATGAATTAGGAAGAAGAAGAAAAAGAAGCGTTGTTTAGAGGTTCTTTTTTTTAAGTTTGCTTTTAATTTTTTTTTCAATGGTTAAGATTTTTTTACTGCAATTTAGTCCTTTAACTTTTAAATAATCATGATTTTTTCCCCCAAACATTTATAAATACACATATTTTTCCATGATTTTGACTCAAACATTTTAATTTTGATAATTAAATCCAGTTATCATTTTACATTTGTTCAGTCAATTCATACACCGAAGAATTCATGTGGATGAACAATATATTATGAAGAAAGGCTGAACGTCCTTTGTACATGTGGATATGTCAACCGATGGACAACCAAATCGCACATACCTTTTTGTACATGTGGATATGTAAAATGATGTACACATATATGTCACTAAAACTTGTACATGTGGAAATTTTAAATGAGCTTTGTACTTGTACTAGTCTATAATCTTCTCATCTCCGCAACAACCAAATTAACAATATGTGTATATTCTTACCATGGCATAACATTACTCATCTGGATCTACAAGTTTCAAGACGTGTACGTCAAGTTAGAAGTGAGATAGCAGAAATAGGTGTACGCATTACCATACTATCACACTATCTAATTGGATAATATTTCAAGTTTCAAAATGTGTACAACCATATGATGTACATGTGTACACACAAATTTTACTATCATGTAAAATGAATTCACTTGTATAAGATTATCAATAAGAACCATATTGCTTTGGAATTTCAAAGCTTGAGAGGCATCGTTTTAAAATGATTGTTACAGTCACAGTGATTATAGCATTAGTGAGTTCTTTTACATGTATATTTTTGATTCTTAGCATTCCACATAATTTTGTGTTTTATACACATCTAATGATTTATAGCTTTGTTTTTAGTTTAATTTATTTATTTTCTGATGCATTTAAAAATTAAAACATGATTTTAATATTTTAATAAGAATACACAATTTTATGAACATTGCTTTACTAATATACAATGTACACATGTAAAAGATATATACATGTTGTGTTTGTACACATGTAAACATGTACACATATACATATATAATCATGTTGTTTAATTCACGTAAACCACGTTACATTTTCCTTATACCAACAAAGATAAATCTATTTCTTTACCATGTGTACACTAACATTATGTACACATTTACGTGGTCATCCAATGTATCCGTGTACACGAATATGTGTACACTAAGATTATGTACACATCCACGTGGTCATCAAATTATTATTTTTTAATGAATGGCAATTTTGTAATAATTTCATCTTCTAGGGTTTTCTGTGTTTCCTATAAATATAACTCACAGCTGCCATTGATTTTTATCATGCAATCTTCATTGTTTTTGCGTTTTACCTCTAGAACTTACAAATCTTATGTAGATTAATAGATTAGAACCCAAAACCAAGAAAAAAAACAGATAAAAAATTAGTCTCTCTGGTAGCCCTCTTATCACATCCTCTATCTCCTTCGTTTTATCTCCTAATCTGAAAAAAATATTGTCAGCAACTATCCTTTGAGGATTCAAAATTCCCCCGATAAAAGTTGGGATACTCACTATCGTCATTTCCGACCAAACACAAGTTACGTCTCCTCCATATCCTTCACTGAAGCCCTCACTGTAATATATTCTTTTTCGCCGGGAATCATCGTTGCAGCACTTCTTCCACTCTAGAAAACCCAAAAAAAAAAGTAAAAAAAGTTAATTTCTTCTCGGGACAACTAAAACTTTTTGAATTTCAAAAGAAAACAAAATAAAAATAAAAATTAATCTCTAACTAAATAAATGTCTCTTGTTACGTTTTTTAAAGGTTAAATTGAGTCTTTTCACCAAATAACTACCCTAGTAGTGAAAACTAATTTAATCTGTAAAGAAAAAACTCAAAATTGTCTCTGTATGAAAATAACTTTTAAAAACTAGGGCCATAACCAATTAGTGTTCTATACTGAGGATCCTTCTTATGTGCATCCCATTTGCGGTAATTTCAATCATGGTGGTGTCTGATCCACATGTGGTGTAGATGTATGTATTAATCATTTGATGATCAACGACTTGATGATCCATGATTTCGCGATTTGACATCTACTAACCCCCACTAGTGACTAATAACATAACCCCTTTTTAGCTAAATTTAGAAATACAAAAGTAATCCAGCTTTTTGACTTAGAAAACATAGGTCCATGTGTGGGTTTGATGTTCTGTTCTCCTTTTCCGATATGAGGTTACCGTCTTTGATCCAAAACATTTGGAAAATTTAAAAGAAAAAAAGAGAACCTACATAATTGGTTGACAAGATCAAGTTTATGGGAGAATACTAAAATTAAACTCCAACTTGGATAAGTTCTTATGCCAAATCCAAAAGATATCTAACTTGGATAAGTGTTTTAAGAAACAATTTAGTAAATGTCAGCTGTTGAATTAGAGACTTAAAAAAAGTAGCCTGTAATACAAAAGAGGTGATGGTAAAACAAAAAAAAAGGTATGATAAAATAAAAATCAAATGAACAAGACAAGCTTTTCCTGACATAAGTTTTCATATCTTGACACTAATACATTATCAATTAGATAACTTATTATCAGAAACGTCCCATGATTGGACATCAACACTAGATGATCAACTAAAGCCACTAATCACAGTTAGTGTTGTTAGTATGAAATTCGAAAGTAATACAATTTGATAATCCGGATATAAAAATAAAACACAGATATATCCATGAATCATGAACCAAAAATAAAAAGGTTGTGTTTGACAAAATCAATGAACAAGACTTCGTTCAGGAGTTTCTCAAACATGCCACTTCTTATAAGAGGAGGGAAAAACAACCAACCAGTCGTCAAAACTACAAACCCTACGGTAAGCGGTCGTGAAACCATCGGACTCATCTTCCACCACCAGTCTTCTTTACTGCTACTTCGGCCGCTGCGGAAACTCCATGTAACACAAAAAAACAAGTGACTTCTCCTGTAGGCATCTCATGGGTAATATAAAAGAAAATCAACTCATGAACTGCACCAGAGACCAAGAACGTCACCAAAACCGCCAAAAACCTAGCATAATCAGAGTTCATTTTCCATCCAGCGATTCGCTGCACAGGGTCGAAGACAGCTGGCCTGAGGATAGCTGTGACCATGAGGTTCCACCGTCGTCCCCAGAAATCTTGAAGAGAACTGGCTAAGTATGGTTCATTAAACTGTGGCTCCAGATCGCATCCAATAGAGATAAAAACCAAAACTTTGACGAGCATTAAACCAATCTCAAGCACCAAATATATATGCAGAGAATAGAGAACCAAGAGCATAGTGGGAGACAAGTGTTGTTTGTAATCATGCACACCAAAACCGACAACTTTAATGGTGAAAACCCATTTGGGGATCTCATTTTCAGATTTAGGGTTTTGTTGAGACTTGATGGGAAGCAAGTGAAGAAGATAAACAGGGAGAGGGTTTGGGGAAGTGGGTAAAGAGGACCTTTGTTGGAAGAGAAGAGGATGAGTTTGAAATTGGCCAGCCATGTGAAGAAAAACGCTGAGGCTCCAGAGAAGTGAACAGAGAAATGAGAAAAAACAGAACACAAACAGGAATAACCACTTGTAAGGTTATGCTATCCACTTGTTACGAGAACTAAACTCTTTATAGCACTGCCCTTGGACCTACTCATACGATTCACTAATCTTGTTCATGACTCAAGACTTTTTCATCCAGTTTACGGCCGCAACACGCTACCTCTAGGGTGGATTCAGAGATCCACAACATCCACTATGAAGTATCGGAAAACATCTCCGATGTGGTTTACAAGATCACTACTCTCTCTGTCCTGGGAATGCAAATCCTAGAGAGTATACAAGAGAAAATATAAGAGATTACATGGCTAAGAGCTAAGACTAGAATACATATTGATCTCTAGCTTACTATATATCTCTAAGAGATGCCATGGAAGCATTCCTCTGAGCCTTGAGGCTCCAAGAGGCTTGGCTTGTGCTTGGAGATATTTGTCGTGATCTATTCGTCCTTGTATTGTCAACACTTAACCTAATGGGCTTTAAATGAATATCCCATAAGTTTTCCACGCTTAACTTGTCCAAAGCCGGCCCAAGTTAAACACGCCTGATGGACTTTGACCAAACCTCACAAAACTCCACATGTTTGGTTAAAGTCCATAACCCTTCCTTTGTATTGACACCTCCTCTTCTGCTTCTCCTTTTCTTCTCTTATCTCTTATCTCTTATCTCTTCTCACTTCTCCTAGCTTCATCTTGAGCTATGCTTGAAGTTCCTTCATGATCTTCTTGAAACCTGCATAAGCTTCATATTATACACCACAACCGCTTAAGCAGATTAAACACTTAAATCTACTTAGCCCCATCAACGAATATATACATCACGCCTGATGAAAGGTATGTGACAATCCCATTGCCATTCTGAGTTTCCATCACCTTCATCTAATGTCTTGAGTTTCGATCCCATCTGCTACACTCCAAGTGTCAAGCTCAACTCCTCATTGACATCATGTTACTTCATATCTCATTACTCCTCGTGAACTTATCAACAACACAACCTTGCTATCAAAATCACGAACCTGTTCAACTGCTTAAACAGAAACTTGAACATCTTTCTGCAAATTGATTTCTTCCTTGATCATTCGATTTCATTCATGTGCATTGAGCCTTGTATCAAAATCCTTCAATTATGTGCAACAAACCTTCGAACCATATATGCTTCAGTCCTGAAACAACCTATGATTCTCTACTTGTTTAAACACTGCAGCCTTGAACACCTTTGTACCGATGTTACTCTGAACAGAACACGCCATCCAGCCATCACTGCTGGACAAACTTTCGACACAACCTGGTGAGACCACCATGCTTAACAGAACCTTGATGTCACACTGAACCCTTTAGAATCAACCGCAAACCTTGAAGTCACTCATGCCTCATATCTCTGAAGCAGTCTTTGACTTACTCTTGATGTTCCTGAACAGATTGCACTTGAGCATCACTTTGTACCGCTGCACACTTAAGTAGGACACGCCGCCTAAAACCATATGATTACAAAGACTATCGACACAAATATATTACTCCACCATCTGATCAAACTGTTCTGCAACAAAATCTCCACTAACAGAATTAGACCCCGTTTCTAGTTGAATGAACTGAGTCTCATACCATCTAGTCCATGATACGCTTTGGCTCTCCTTCACGAGCTGCCTGTGATATCTTATCTAGAATCCCTGATATCCCTCCTTTACTCAGCTGTGAATCCATTCCCTCAATACCCTTCTTGTACTGAGATGTCTCCAAAAAACCGAAACACGTGCATCACCATCAACAATTTGAACACGCTCAGTATTCACTTGTGATGTCACCATATATTCAGAACTCTACCGGTTCCTTTTCTTTAAATGCAATCGGTTTTGCTTTTCATTTTAACCTTCATGAAGCTTCTTTCAGTTCCATGACTTGAGCTTAAGATGAGCTTGCTTGTGGAGAACAAGTCTTACCCTTCCTGATATGAACAAACTGTAAGACAATTCCCTGCAGTCCATGCAATGTCTTCCAACAGCTTTTTACTTTGTTTCATCTCGCCATTCTTATCTTCACCGCTCTATACTTCAGTTTAACTAAGCACTTCACCACGTTTTACCTTGCATCATAGTCGGTTCCTCTGTATCACCTTCACTGCAGTGTACTCTTGATACATATGTCGTTTTCACTTGTCTCGCCTACAAGTAACTTTATGTAAGACTCTTCTTACAAACTCCTTCTGATGCGCCTTGTACTTGTTAACTGATTTTGACACTTCTGGCCTTGACACCCTAAACATATCCACGACCCTCTTATCATGGCATAAAGTTCCCTTTCAGCTCTTACTCCCTTGAGCTAACCAAGTTGCTAACCAAAACTTTTACCCTTCAGCTGAACCAATCAACACATCTTCTAAAAAAGAAAACACGTGACTCACTCCACGTGGAATCAGATTATATACATCCCTGATGCATCATTCCTCATATAATCTCAGTGGCTCCACCTGAATCAAATAACCTTTAGAAGTACCATGTCTGTGGGAATTAACCAAGTTTCTGCAACTGTTCGTGGTTCCTGTCGGCCTTTAACAATTTCTATCATCATCAACGTCTGTGATGCTCCTGAGATATTCCTTACAGCTTCTCTTGTGTCAAACTCAAACCCATGACGAGTTTCTCCAGCTGTAACTGTACCTGAACCATGACATGTTCAAGCAAGAAGTTCCGACCTGGTTAAGTCTGCAAATTTCTCCTTTTGCTTCTAAGCTTCGATTTTTTGTCTGAGAGCTCCACCTTGACCCCTCTGGTCGTGACACCAGAACGGCGTCCCTTACTTCTCCTTTGAGTCTATTCATCTTGAACTTCCGACTCAGACATCCATGACGATTCCTCTAAGGTAGAACTCACACATGCTTCTACTAGCTGTGGTAGCGACTTCATACTTCCTAAACAAGTGTTGATGACTGTTGCCTCATACCCTTTACTCTCAGGATTACAATCAGTCGTAACAACCTGTTCAACCCGATTCTGCCTGCGCATTTTCCTCTGCCTTTGACAATAATCTTCAAGCTAAGTCTAACCTTGAATCGCCTTTTCTCTTAGGTTTTCATGTCACTCACACGACCTCACTAAAGCTACTCCATATTGTTATCACAAATAGTCATTTGCTCCAACACACCCTTGTGTAGGATTTTACACACATGTTCCTTGCTCTAGTTGCTTCTTCGTGGAGGTACAACCTGTCTTAGCCACACTAACTTGGTGACTCCTCTGGCTTCCTTCTAATCAGCCAGAACCTTGCGTCTCATGCACCCACGAGACTGACTTGAAATGACCCAAAACAGAATCACCTATGTTTCGTCATATTTTTACCACACTACAACCAACATGTACAGCTTCAAGATACGTTGATCATCTTTCGCAAAGATAACCTGCATTCCTTGTGATCTCTGGAAAAAACTTCAGTCCCTGAGAGATTGATGACCTTTGATTCCGTCTCCTTAAATATAGCTTTGACTTAATATGAGTATGTCTTTAACTTGAGATATCTTCCATCCCAGACAACTCAAATCAATCTCCAACATTAATCACGAACACGCCCACCTATGCAGTTGTTCTTGCTGCAGCTTACGCGGATCTTTCCTTTCTTGCAAAAACCGATGTATCCCTTGCAAGTCTCTCATCATGATTTCCCAAACCTGAAACCATCACGTGCATTAAGATCCTCCTGTGAACGTTGCTTCTTTTGTCTCAGACGTCATCTTGTCTACCACAAAACAACCGCCATCTGCTTCTCTCTGAAGCTGCATGTCCTTCATCATCATCCCTGGTTCGTCACACATGATGTGATCGTGACTACAAATCTACTGATTCTTCTTCTCCGGAATTCATACAGCAGATGTCGATGCTACCTTGAAGCTCTTGCAGAACCTGAATCACCACTGCCTCAAACCAGAAGCCTTTGACTCAATACCTTAACAAACCTCAACAGCCTGTAGACACCAACTTCTTATTCTAAGAATTTCTTTGTAACAATATGTATGAACACTTTGTCTTGAACATCTCTCTCAACCGATGCTGTTGTCAACAGAACCCGCCGCTTAACTCAATTTTCTAAGAAGTCTTTCGACGCAAAGAATCTCTGCTCAACTTCTGCTCAGACAAACCATTACCTCTTTTCAACCGTGATACCTTGTAGACCCATTTGTTTCCCCTCATATGCTTGATAAGCCAAAACAAACTACTATTGAATCCAGTGCAGAAAACCCAAAACATACATGTTTCCATTCTGAATCAATTTCGATTTTACACCGCCACCTATTCAGCCGAACTCTGCCTTGAAAAAATAACTCTCATTCTCGCAGATCCATCCCAGCAGAAACCTATGTGTTCCGCCAAACACATATCTGCTTAGAAAAAACCACATTGCAGTCCTCTGAAAATAGCAGCCTTGTAGTATCTTGTTCTCTGAACATCTACCCAATTGTAGACTCTCATAATCACACCTAGACAAACCCTGCATCAGCCAATTTACTTCAAACCCTTTTGCGACACCCTTCACGCTGACTAAATAATACCATCTGAATAGCCATGAAACACTCATATCCTTCAAGGTCTAAGGCGTCCCCTAGTTCCAAGAATTCCATGAGATACCGAGCTGAAAGACCCACATATATTAGAACACCATCTGCAACTACCATGTAGAGATAACCCAAGAACACTGTGAAATCCCTCACTGGATCTTTAGAGAATCCCATACCAAACCAGTGTGAAACCCCTTGTATTCCACTATGTTTTCAGCTCCAATAACTTGCAGAACATGAAGAAAACCCGAAACTCCAGTGCATATAGTCACACTCACCTTGTGACTGCATATCGAGGACAAACTCTGAAACCTCTCTTTCTTTTGCTAACAGCCTACCACCATCTTATCTTGTGAGTAACCTGAAGTTCTTCTCACATAGTAGCACGTTCTTACACCCTTGGAGAACTC